GTGCATTAGGCGCCATTTCACCTCCACGCTAGGGAGGACAATGGAAGTCCTCCAGCCTCCCTGCGACCTTTTTCTACCTGGGCTTTCTCCCGCACATCCCCCAGCTTTCTTAGCTCTGTACCTCTGTTCACGTTACAACTTTCACCAAGAACCTTGCTGCATTCACTCGCCAGTGTGCCCAAATTACTCACCTACTAGCTCAACTCACTGTTTCCCTGAGTGAGTGCTTCTACAGGGGGCCCCAGGGCCAGCAGGAGCAGCAGCAACACCTGGGATGGGGGGGGCGATGCAAATCCTCAGGCCCCCTCCCTCCCAGACCTACTGAACCAGCAACTCTAGGGTGGCCTTTCTGGTGACAGACGTGGGCTCCGTTGGAGAACCACTGCTCTAGGATTTTGTGCCAACCCCCCCCAAGCCCAGTCCGTTCTCTCCTCCCCACAGCACACGTCACATCCGGCCGGGCAGGGCACTCTGTCTCTTGCAACCTTGTCTTGCTTGCCCCGATCCCACTGGAGCTGGGCTCTAAGCTCCTGGGGCCTGGCCTCACCTCACTCAGAGTCAGGCACCAGCGAGGCGAGGTCCACAGCCAGTGGCCAGTGCTGGCTGCACCCTGAGTCCTCATTTCCGTTCTCACCAGGGTAGAACAGTTTGAGCTGCCTCACCTCCCCACTGACATCCTGAGGGTTTGCTGGGGAGGATGAGCAGACCGTGTCCTTGGACTTCAAATGACGAGAATCTTCTTGTGCCTAAACCACGCTGTTTCCATAATGTCCCCACCCTCAAGTCCACTTAGCCTTCATTTTCGTAGCATTGAAGCCACCTGGTTGGTAACAGTAAGGGCAAAGGCAATCACTGGTCACTTCCTTCATAAGAGAAAGCCATGGACCAGCTGGTGGCATGGTTAAGGCTGCTGGATCCCACTCAGCCCACTGTGCACTTTGAGTCCCGGAGCCAGCAGCTTAAAAACACATAGGTCATGTGTGTATGTGTGCCCCAAATCCCGAGAGAACGGTGTGACCATCCCCCGGGGGGTGCTTTCTCACTTTCTCTGAAGAGCGCTCACACCCTCTAGGAATTTATGAGAGAGAACTAAGTGGGCGTTCCAGCTAGGAGACGGCGTGGACCTCCTGGATTTGTAGCTGTAGGAGGGAGTGTTGGGTCTGTCAACGGATACACATCAAAGGGTTTTAGAAGAACATTTTCCTTTCCTCTCCCCCCCACCCCAAGCCAGTGTTTCAAAGATGCAGTTAATAACCATGAGGGACAGTTTTTTTTTTTTTTTTTTTTAAGAGATTTCACTACAGGGCACGTGTGCTTGCCAGAGAGAGAGAGAGAGACAGAAAATGAGAAATCATTCCCTGGGGGAATGGCCACACTGCAATGCCTTCTCCATTCTCCTCTCAGGATTTTGGGCACACACTCACACACATGCCTGGTGTGAGTTTCAAGCCACTGGGTCCAGGACTCAAGCTGTAGTTGTGGTGGGAGTCCAGCGCTTTAACCACTACGCCACTTGCTGACCCCAGGGCCAGCTTTTAAAGCCACGCTTCTCCAAAAGGAACAGTAACGTAGAGTGGTGGATAGATCCCTGGGAGCCGGAATGGGTTCCACGGTGCTCCACTAGGGGGCGCTGCTGTGGTGACGGCCCTGGCGCATCCTTCATTCTGCACATCAGAACCAGTCAAGCCAGAGAGCGCCTCTACCAGAACGTAACTGAGGAAAGATATCTACGGGAAGACTTGCAGTAGTAGTGACGGCCACAGGTAATGTCAAAATAGGAAACGTGGAGACCTGCCAAGACCCTTTCTGCAAGAGCTCACAGGCTGGAAGTGCAAGGACGGATCACCCAACCAAACCCCAAGTGGCATCTCCAACACAGACTAGAATGTGGCCCTGAGCACTCAGCATTCTACTTCACGAGACATACAAGGTGTGGGCAAGCTCAGAGTTAGGGTGTTTTCCGCCCCCCTTGCACTAGCAGTCGTAGGTTCAGTACACGTGAGCAGCTCTGTACGCTCTCACCACCTCCACTGCTCTGACAAGATCTGGCATTTGATGCTTTAATGCTCTAGCCAGCTTGTCTATTGTAAAACGGGGCAGGGTGGGGAGCAAATCTCACTCATTGAGAACACTGCTGAAACTCTCCATCCATCGGAACGTTCAATGAATCAGAACCCTTGACCACATTAGACACACGGGGGCTAAATTTAGCTCTGCATCAGCAAAGTCGGGCTCAGAATAGAGAGGCTCTCATCTTACCCTGAGCCGGTGCTTCTTCCAGGACTGCTTTCCTCGGCGGGCCAAGATGGGGCCGGGGCACACCACAGGCTCTCAGTGACAAGGATGGATCGCCCAGCCAAACCCCAAGTGGCACCTCAAATGCAGACTAGAATGTGGCCCTGCGAAACACACGCAAGGAGAAAGCAATGGCAACCACGTTTACTCCTCCCCCAGGGGACCGGGAACCTGGCATGTAGCATGCTTCACGTGTTCTAGCCGGGGTGCAGGAACGGCCTGACGTGCTCTAGGGTTCTTGAATTGCGTCCTGTATTACTCAGCCAGCTGGGTCTGGCCTTCCTGAGCCTCCAGCTTCTCTGAATCAGATGTAGCCAAGCTCTATAAAACAGAGCAAACTGGCTCTGTCAATCTCCTCATACCCTGGCAGGATAGCATATCTTACAATGATAAAAATATCCATGTCTTCATCCCTCTGAAATGATTACATAATGCCTGATTTCCTCGGGAGGGGGGGGAGTTTATTCTCATCTCTCCCTGTCTTCTAACGCTCGTGAATCTTCCAACGTTGTGATCATGTTCATCAAACACAAATCATACTTTCCGACCCAAACTGAGGGTCTACTACGTACCAAACACTGTTACACAACAGAGAAATGTTGAAGGAAAAAAAAAAAGCCGAATCTTTCATTTTATCATTATTAAACTCGCTATAGGGCACATGTACTTGCCAGAGAGAGAAAGGGGAGTAAGAAAGCCTCCCTTCTCCCCACCAGGGGGAGGGGAGTGGCCACACCACTGTGGCTCCTCCTCCGTCCGCCTCCTTTCAGGATTCTGGGCACCAGTGCGTTTCTCAAGCCAGTGGGTCCAAGACTCAGACCGTGCAGTCACCACGTGGGATCCAGGTGCCTTCACAACCACACACCGTGGCTGCCCCACTCTTATTTTAAACCTCAGCTGGACAGCCCACACTCCCACATTAGGGACGGCACCTGCCACGGCAGCGCTGGCTCGGAATCGCCCCACACAGGCCTCGTGCAGGTCCCAGGTACCTGCATCTCTCACGTCCCCTGGGAGGGACGGTGCCCCCAGAGAGCTGAAGTCTTAAAAACATGAGGTGACAATATGCCTGATGGGTTCCCAAAATAGCGAGCTTGACAAACTCAGACTGTACAGTTCCACTCAGGCTTCCTCACTCACATTCCCCGCTACAAGCAAAATAACCACACACAGTAGAGAATTGCTGCATAAATCACATTTTAATTACCTGGCTTTGTTTAAACCAGAAAGGCAAATTCACAGCTTTTCTAGTCTGTTGTCCCTAACCATGTGGCCTGATATATTTCCTCCAACTTGCCATGTTTCAGTAAAAATGTTCTGCCTTTCACTTTGTAACCCCAGAGCTAACTTCTCTTCTATTCCTAGTCAGTGGCTAATACGGTCACCTTGAAGAAACACTAACAGGATGGTGGTAAACCATGGACTCAGGCAAAAAAAAAGAAAAAGAAAGAAAATGAAAGTTCACTCCGTAGGATGAGGCAGGCTCTGGAAGGCTCCTCCTGGACATGCCATCACGGAGATGCCCCCTTCCCGTGGCTGCCCGGCCCGGCCCTGGTCACATCCTACCCCACTGCTATCTGCCCCAGGTTCTGCAGAGCTTATACGGTGGTGCCCAGAAAGGAGGGTTGCGGGGGAAACCTTGCTTCTGTGACCCTAACCTGTGTTTGTTCCCTGCCCTGAATGGTTTAGTGCTAACATGAGACCAGAATCCGTCCTCGGTGCCCTGGGCCCACTTAGAGCCATGGCAGTAACTGGCAAACATTAGAAAAGTGTCTAGAAAGAAAGAAGGATTTTTATTTGCTGTACTTCCCACACTTTCTTTGGAAACTTTCCCTTTGGTGACCCAGCCCTTTTGGGCTCACCGCTCCAACGCGACAGAGGATAAGCAGTAAAGGTCTTCCCTCGGGACTGTGGTCCCGGAAGGGCACAGAGGGGAGGTCCACCCTGGAACTAGGCCAGGTGTCCAAGAACTCACGGCCTGGCAGCTCACATCCTCACCCACCGCTTAGCATTGCTGCCCTGGCCACGGTCTCGGCTTTACAAGGGAAAGCGGGAAACGCGCCTGGGCTGAGGGTCTGAAGTGTGACTGCACAGCCCTGGCAGCTCCGAAGTTCCTCCATGATAGTATGCCGACAAAGCCATCTCAGCACGGGAGCACCTGCTGTCCTGATGGCCCCAAAGGAGTCCCTCAAAGTCCTCTCTCTTACACACACACTCAGCAGAGGGTTTGTTATCCCACCGGAGTCGGAAACCTTTGCCTCACTTACTACTAAAACCTCACGCTGGCTCTTCAGTTCCCAGCATGAGCTCAGGAGCTATACTTTAAGGATTGTTGTAGCTAGAGACTAACCAGCAGGATAGACTCTGACGCTATCTATGTATCACACTGTGATCCACACTGTGGATCAAATCTGCATCTTTTCTTCCTCCCCCAAAAGCACCATAACTCACAGCCGCGAGCTCCTTGAATGAAGAAAATCCAAGACACCCAGCAAGGACAGCACCAGCTCCTCATCTACAGGGACCGAGTGTGAAGGGAGGAAATGGATTTGTAAGGCTGACGAGGACTTGGAGGTCCTGTCCTTTACCTTGGGCAAATCACGTAGCCCTCTAAGACTCATTCAACCTCCATTCCTAGAGTCACAAAGTATGTCTGAGAAATTCTCACTCATTATTGTCACTGTACTCCTCACTCCCTTACGATAGAGACCAGAATCCGTCCTCGGTGCCCTGGGCCCACTTAGAGCCATGGCAGTAACTGGCAAACATTAGAAAAGTGTCTAGAAAGAAAGAAAGAAGGATTTTTATTTGCTGTACTTCCCACACTTTCTTTGGAAACTTTCCCTTTGGTGACCCAGCCCTTTTGGGCTCACCGCTCCAACGCGACAGAGGATAAGCAGTAAAGGTCTTCCCTCGGGACTGTGGTCCCGGAAGGGCACAGAGGGGAGGTCCACCCTGGAACTAGGCCAGGTGTCCAAGAACTCACGGCCTGGCAGCTCACATCCTCACCCACCGCTTAGCATTGCTGCCCTGGCCACGGTCTCGGCTTTACAAGGGAAAGCGGGAAACGCGCCTGGGCTGAGGGTCTGAAGTGTGACTGCACAGCCCTGGCAGCTCCGAAGTTCCTCCATGATAGTATGCCGACAAAGCCATCTCAGCACGGGAGCACCTGCTGTCCTGATGGCCCCAAAGGAGTCCCTCAAAGTCCTCTCTCTTACACACACACTCAGCAGAGGGTTTGTTATCCCACCGGAGTCGGAAACCTTTGCCTCACTTACTACTAAAACCTCACGCTGGCTCTTCAGTTCCCAGCATGAGCTCAGGAGCTATACTTTAAGGATTGTTGTAGCTAGAGACTAACCAGCAGGATAGACTCTGACGCTATCTATGTATCACACTGTGATCCACACTGTGGATCAAATCTGCATCTTTTCTTCCTCCCCCAAAAGCACCATAACTCACAGCCGCGAGCTCCTTGAATGAAGAAAATCCAAGACACCCAGCAAGGACAGCACCAGCTCCTCATCTACAGGGACCGAGTGTGAAGGGAGGAAATGGATTTGTAAGGCTGACGAGGACTTGGAGGTCCTGTCCTTTACCTTGGGCAAATCACGTAGCCCTCTAAGACTCATTCAACCTCCATTCCTAGAGTCACAAAGTATGTCTGAGAAATTCTCACTCATTATTGTCACTGTACTCCTCACTCCCTTACGATATGCTGAGGGAGAAAAGGTTTCTCCTGAACCCCACCCCCCAAAAAACTAAACTGAAGGGAGCCCTAGTACCAACTCAGGCAGCCACCAAGATAATGGCGATTCCAGTGCAGCTGACCCGAGGAGGCAGAGAGCCAGCATCTTCACTGGTCAGTTCTAGTGTGGGTAACTCAGTGTTCTTCATCAGATGAAAGGCCTTCGATTTCATCTCTGTCTCCCCCGATTGCCATCCAGAATGCCTTGGCCACCTGCAGAGAGAACCACGGAACACATTTTAGGTGACAGGTAACTTCAGCTCATTTCCTATATTGTACCTTAAACTCCCTGAGACTTAATATTCTACACCATGCCCTCTGGCAACGTATATCAAAACCCTGAATACCCTTTGACCCAGCAGTTCCATTGTAGAAATTTATGCTAAAGGTATAATCAGAGTTCCAGACAACAGGGATGTGCAAAGGCATGCACAGCTTCATTTCCTATAAAAGCCAAACATGCACACGGCCTAAGTGTCCAAAGGGGAGCTGAACAAATGAATTATGACACATTTATATAATGGAATATCATCAAGTACGGAGGTTTCCTGCCAAGAACACATGTTGTGTTGGTAATAACAAAACAAAACAGCAGCTAAGTTTTCTGACCCAATGGCTGGGAAAGTCAACAGCCTGCGTCTCAAAGCTCCTTGTCACTTAACGTACACTGGAAAAATCTCGGTTTGATTGTAGCGACTATATTGCCATTTCATAAATATTTCATTATTGGGGCATCAGAAAAGTCGTGATGTATTTGTCTATGCAAAAATGCATCATGACTTTTCTGATAGCCGACAGGTATAAGTTAATAATCAATGAAAAGCTCAAATGAGACCCTTTAAAAGTACACAAGTGTGATACAACCCTAAAATAGCACTGGGCCTTTCACAGGTACCTGACTGACGGATTGGCTCACCTTTTCTGCATGCAACTTTCTCTGCTCGTGAGGAAGCGTCGCGGCTTTGTCTAGGGGGAAAATATATCTTAGGAAATCTGTGTGGTAGCGCAGGAAACTGTGGAGTGCACGGATGTTCTAACACTATGAGATGGGAGATGAGTGTCAAGGACAGGTTTACGATGTAGTCATTACAGGCGTTAGGAGGCGTTAGTCTTCCAAATGTTCCTGGGAATGCTGTAGGCCAGGAGGGATGTGACGGAGACCATGTTAATGAAACACACAGAGAGAACCAGGGGGAGGCAAAAGGAGAAGGAAAAGCAAGAAAAAGCAGAATGAAGAAAGGAAAATATTCCCGGGGAATTTTACCAGAGGATGGCATAGTCCCCCAGTAGCTAAGTTTCTCAAGGCAGCTGAGACCAGAGCATGGACTCCAACCTAGCGCTTACAAAACGGGTCCTACTACATGAAAGACACGAGCATCGGGGTGAGGGCATCTCAGACGCACGGATCTGATTACCTTTCATTTCCTTTAACTTTGAAAACAGTCTTTCAAAATTCTCCAGATCACCTCCTCCAGTAGTCAGGCTGGCCAGTTCTTGAATATCCAGATCTAACATGGGATCTAAAGCGAGGATCGGACGCATTATTTACCACACGTTAACGATACATGTGCTCAACACACAGAGTTGAAAACCAACTGCATGCCCACTGTGGGCCAGCTTTACAGACCATGGTGCCCCACCCTGCACGGCTGCTAGTGAACTGAAACTTCTCGACAGACTATGATGAGGTAAGGAATATACTAAGTCCACTTTAGAGGGAAGAAAACTAAAGCTCAGCGTTGAAGTGACTTGCTTGCTCGAGGTCACAATTAGTAAGTGGGTTCAGACATATGGTTTCCAACCCTGAAGGCCACACTCTCCCCACTAAGACACACTGACGCAACTATAAATGACAATTGTTACCATATTTTACCATACCACACTTGTTTTCACATTTACTACTGACACCCACCACAAAAAAGGACAACCCACAACTTACAGATGAGAAAAACTGTATTTAGAAACGAACTCAACCCAGCCTCAGTGGCACAGAGGTAGCATAATGATCCCAAGTGTGGGAAGCCATGAGACTGGCCACCAGTTTGGAACCTGAGTCGACCTGAAACGCACCAGGTATGTGTGCACCTCAGATCCTGACTCGCTGGCAGGCTGGCAGAAGGGACTGCTGTATGGTCAAACCCTTTGAGTGCCTGTGTGTGTGTGTGTGTGTGTGTGTGTGTCTCATGAACATGCAAACATACTCTAAAATTACTGTCATCTGGCAGAAAGACTGCTGTATGGCCAAACCCTTTGAGTGCCTGTTTGGGTGTGTGTGTGTGTGTGTGTGTGTGTGTGTGTGTGTGTCTCATGAACATGCAAACATACTCTAAAATTACTGTCATTCAGCAGGGACCAGCAGGTGGCATAGTGGTTAAGACACAGGACTCCCATGTGGCTGAGGTTCAAGTCACGGACCCAGTAGCTTGCAACTCATGCCAGGTGCGTGTGCATGCATGCCCAAAATCCTGAGAGGAGAGTGGAGAAGGAGGGATTGCAGGAAGTCCATTCCCCTGGGGGGAAAGGGGTGATTTCTCACTTTCCGTCTCTCTGGAGTGCCCATGTGCCCAATAGCAAAAATCTCTTTAAAAATAAGTTATTCAGACTCAAATCATATGTTCTTATTGCAAACTCTTTACTATTTTTATCACAGCATATTGCTTCTTGGTATCAAAGTTTGTTTGTAATCAGAATTCTAACTCATTCTCCAATCCAGGCCAACCATCTGTAGAATGCTGCTCCTAGCCTTCCCAGTTCACGGGTGTCCTTTCTGGGAATTCTTTCCGCACTCATGTTCACAAAGCCATCCTGGCATCTGCATGAGCTGTTTGTATTTCAGCCACTACTGTAATAAATACCATTTCAATAAGAGCAATTTTACTTTGTGCGTGTACCACTGAGTGCTTTAACTCACACAATTGCTTTTTTTCCTTAGGTTTTTGCCATAGGGCACACATGCTCACAGAGACAGAGACAGTGAGAGAGAAAGAGAAATACACCCACCAGGGCGGATGTCCACATCACAGTCCCTCTCCTCCTGGGATTCTGGGCATGCATACACATGTACTCAAGAGTGATTTTCAAGCTACCGGGTCTGGGACTTAAACAGTGTCAGCCATATGGGGGTCCAAAACCTTAACCATCATGCTACTTGCTGGCCCAAATTCCATTTTATCTTGTAACAGCCTTCAAGGAAAGATTTGTTATCATTATTTTTTTGAAAAGGAAACTGAGGACAATAGAGAGTTTGCCTCACCTTTTCGGCATGCAACTTTCTATTCTAGGTAATAGAATACCTAGACAGTGAATGACAGAGCCACCCATGACTTGAACCCAGCTGCACAGGTCTCCGAAGCCCATGACTGCAACCGACATGACTAATCCTATCTCTGCATTTCTTCACTATCAGCTCTTTGGAGAGAAGAACGATTATTTACAATTCTTTGCATCTACCTCATGCCAGACAATTTGGTATTAAAAATGCACTTGAGGGCCAGCCTGTTGTGTGATGGTTAAAGCGGCTGGGTCTGAAACGGCTGTAAGGTTCAAGTCCTGGGCCTGGCAGCTTCAGAAACATGTTAGGTACGTGTGCATGCACGCCCCAGATCCCCAAATGAAGGAGAATGAAGGACGAGGGACTGTGGTGTGACCGTGCCCCATGACGTGGGGGTGATTTCGCACTTTCTCTCTCATTTACCCTCTGGCAAAGTTTTGAAAACATGCATTTGAGCTCATACATTTACTTTAGTTCAATACCCATGTCAGGTAGGCAGCTGGTATACAGAAGAGAGGATGAAACTTTCTTAATTATCCCATATACCTGGGAACTGAGTGACCAACATGACAGAAACGAGTGGGTTTGAGGAGCCGTTTAGATGGCGTATTGAAGGGCGGCAGTAAAGGCTGGGTAAAGGACGGTCATCTACCAGAGAAAGAGGAGGAACTAAAGTGGGAAGAAAACAGACATGCTGTGCTGGGTGAGTTAAAAGAAAGCAATGTTTCAGAGAGGGACTGGTCCACGGTACTGAATGCCACCAAGAGGCCAAGAGGAGGCCTGTTAAATTCTAGATCCGGTGATATGGGGGCACCGTGTCCTTTGCACAGGGCTGTTTAGTGGCATATTTGGGTAAGAGCCACATGGGAGTGAGCTGAGGACTGCACAGGAGGTGAGCAACAGAAACAAGCTTCGTAAAGACAGAGAGGAAAATAAGACATTCTAAAGATGGTTGGTTTTCAGTTTGGCTTTGCTTTTTTTTTTTTTCACTTTAGTCATTTTAGTCTTATAAAAATGTTGCAAGAACAGTGGAGTTCTCGTATCCCTCTCCCCCCATCCTCCTCTCGTGCTGACGTCCTACATAACCATAGCGTAACTGTTAAGATCAAGATGCTAGTATGGATTCCATGCTGGTAAGTAAACCACAGACTTGACTCAGCTTTCCCAGGGCCCTTTCTCTGTTCCAGGAGGCTAACAGGACTCCGCTATCTCCTCCTCGTCCAATCTGTGGCTGTCCCTTAGACTTTCCTGAGCTCTCGTGACACTTTTGAAGGGTACTGGTCAGTTACTTTGTAAAATGTCCTATTTGGGTTTATCAGATGTTTTCCCATTGTTAGATAAAGGTGCGCATTTTTGGCAAGACCACCATAGCAGTTATGTGTGGTTCTCAGTGCCCCACACCAGAGGAGATGTCAAGATGACTGATTACTGGTGGTGGTAACTTCGCCACTTTGTTAAAGTGGTTGGTATCGGCCAGTGCCCTTTGTAGTAAGTATCTTGGGGTAGACACTTTTAGACTATGCAAATATCCTACTTCTCAAACTTTCCTTCACTGTTTTGTTTTTTTTTAATTTTCATATCATATATATTTACTGTTTCAAACATTTGCTATAGGGCATATGTGCTCACCAGAGAGACAGACAGAAAGTGAGAAGGTACCTTCCGGGAGAATGACCACACTGTAATCTCTTCTCCATTCTCCCCTTGGGATTCTGGGCATGCACACACATGTGCCCAGCATGTTTTCCAAGTCACAGGGTCCAGATTTCAAATGGCACAGTCAGTCATGTGGGATCCGGCCACCTTAGCCACTGTGCCACCTGCTGGCCCAATCATCCACTAACTTGAACATCCATGCGTGGATCTCGCCTGAATCACTATTACTATACTGTGTGGCTTTCAGTTCTCCTCATTCCCCCTACATTTATTAACTGGAATTTGAATGTAGGGAAGGGGAGTCCTTTCCCATTTATTTATCCAATTATTTATTGATATCAGTATAGACTCATAGATTTACTCTATGAGTTATACCCTAATACTTCATTAATTTACTTTGCTGGTCAAATGGTCGCAGCTTTGGCCATCAGAAGTTTGTTGGGGTTGGTTCCTGTAGCCGTTCAACATGTCCCTGCTCTCTGTTGAAAACCCCCTCACCTCAGGCACCACAAGATGCTGCAAGGTCATCCTGCATTTTTCCTGCTCTAGTCCTGGACTCAAACACTTCTCCTTCATTGGAGAGTGGATCTAGAGACCAAGACTGGAGTGCTATCAGTGTGCCCACTGTTCCTGGGGTGTGGTGCCCTCTCGGCGGACAGAGCTAGGACACACATGTATGTCTACTGACACACGAACACACACAAACATATTTATTTCCCTGTTGCTCTGTTAAGCATAGCTTAAAAACTCCGAGTTCATACTGATGCATTAGGTTTCCATCCCGTACCAAAGGGTTCATCCCAGCCCTTCCCTTCCCATATCTGTAACTTCCTTCTCTGACAGTGAGAAACCTACTGTCATTATCTGTATTTTCATATTTTTTCAGCTACATACACACATATATACTTATACACCTACATATGTATGTATATATGTATGTATGCATATACGTATGATTTTAAAATTGCTAACCCATACTCCTTGGAAAACAAATTTACTAAGCAGAGTTCATGATCTGTGTTCGGTTCTTCTTGTCTTCACCCTTATGATATCTAGTTCTTTCACTCTTTTGCAAAGGTACTTAGGTTGGTTCTTGTCATCTCCACCCACTTCAGTGCTATTAATGATCTGTTTTCATGGCAGAGGCCTTAGTGGGTTTAAAAGCCAATAGGCAGGATGCATTGAGAGGATAAGACTGAATAAAAAGAAAGAAGGATTTTACCTAATTTTTTCTTTTCAATACATTTCTCTAGCCAATCACTTGAGCTTTCTACATGGATTATCTAATAATACGAATGCGTTACTGCACGTGAGCCCTCTGTGGCACAAGGAGGAAGTAGGTATATCAGTGGTTCCCCAACAAAGACACTGAAGAGTTACTGTCCATGAAGCTCCTTGGCTTTCTGGCCCAGGACAGCAGGGTGTACTCCAGTTTCAGCTCCCCGGCCTTCTCATTGGATGTTCTTGAAAAAGTTACTAAACTTCTCTGGGCTTCAGGTCCAAATCCGTAAAATAATGTCACTGCCAGATTTCATTACCAAATGAGAAAATGGATATGACAGAACCTTAAGGGGCCAGCAGGTAGCATAGTGGTTAAGACTCTGGAGTCCTACATGGCCGACTGCAGTTCAAGCCCCAGGCCTTTCGGCTTCTTTTCTCACTCCTCTCCCCATCTCTGTCTCTCTTTGGTGAGCATACATGCCCTATAGCAAATTAAAAATAATGATAACGGGAGCCAATGGGTGATGGTGTGGTGGTTAAGGCACTGGAAGTGCTCAACTATGGTTTGAGTCCCAGACCCAGTGGCTGGAAACTCACACTGGGTGCATGTGCATGCATGCCCAAAATCCAAGGAGGAGAATGGAGACGAAGGGACTGCGGCGTGGCCATCCCCACTGGGGAGTGAATTTTTGCTTTCTGTCTCTCTGGTAAACTCATGTACCCTATAGCCAAAAAGAAACAAACAAACAAAAGCTCCTCAAAAAATACTACTACTACTAATGACAATAATAAATAAAATTAAATACATAATTCTTAAAAAAAAAAAAAGAGAAACTTGGGGCTGGCAGGTGGCATAGTGGTTAAGGGTGCTGGACTCCCACCATGACTACGGTTCAAGTCCCAAACCTGGTGGCTTGCTTTCTTGCCTTCCCTTTCTCTCTCTGTCTCTCTCTGGTCCAATTGAAAAATAGTAATAATAATAGATGAATAAATAATTCTTTTTAAGAAGAGAGACCCTTGAAAGGATGTGAAAGGGCTTATAAATCTAAAGCTGCACTGTCCTCGTCAGCGTCATCGACGGCGGTTAGCTACCATGAGCAAGCTGCAGCGCACAGCTAGCTGTAAAGCCGTTCTGCCATGTGGTTCTGTCAGCCTTTGCTAAGACGATCTGAACCGAGATCCTGCTGCGACAGTCAAAGAGAAAGTGGTGCCCCCGTATTTGTTATGTATTTATTCTTCCCCCACTTCCTGACAGCTGCTGGCAAGGATCACGTTTATTTGGGGTACGCTATCAATTTTCTTCCCTTCTCCACATTTTGAGTTGATTTCCCCCTCTAGAATTTCTGCCCAGATAGCTAGTCCAAGCCCCTGAGCTATCTCCTGGTAGCAGAGGAGGAGCTTACCCACAGTGCTGTCACCTGGGGTGTCTGCCGTGCTCGATGCGCCATCCCGATGATCCGAGAGGGGCTCGGCCCTGTCTGCTGCTGGCAAACTCCGCTGCTGCTGAGGGAGACACGCAAAACAAGCACAAGACAGTGGCCTCCTTCGAACCTGAGTCCAGAACCAGGGCGGCTCCCATACGCCCTGCCTGGTTGGCTTTAGAGAAGCAAGGGATGAAGGGATGAAGGGAAAAGGAGCGAGATCACAGTAAGAAGTAAAAGGCTAAAAGTTCACTAGCTTGGGAGTATTTTTCCCTCAAGGAAAAAGTCAGAAAGTGGTATCATTTTGCTGTAGAGTATTAAAATACGGTTTTTGCTTGTTTCATTTCATCTCTCTGCTATTTACTGGAGAGGATGGGTGTAAACACCAGAGACGGTTACTGGGGAGAGTGGATGGTAAGGAGTGGGCGGTGGAGGGTGGGTGTGAGGCGCAAAAATAAAAAATATAACCTGCTAAAAAAAAAAAATCTGTTATTCAAAAAGTGAAAATGTATATAACCGTAACATAAATAGCTGAGAGGCTGATGAAGTAAAGCCCAGGAAAGATAATGTTGCCCTAAATATTTATTTCCCTATTATTCAAACTGGAGGGATATGTGTTTTTTTTTTCCTAGAGAGAGATTTTTTGCTATAGGGTACATGTGCTTGCTGGATAGACAGGGAAACAAAAAGTAAGGAATAACCCCTCGGGAGGATGGCCATGCCGCAATCCCTTCTCCTCCATTCTCCTCTCAGGATCTTGGGCACGCACGCACGCATGCCTGGCATGAGCTTAAGCCACCAGGTCCGGGACTTGAACCACGGTCGACTACATGGGAGTCCAGTGACATAGCCATTATGCCAATTGCTGGTCCCACTGTAAGCATAATTTTAAAAACCAAGTTTGCTTTTCGTTCCAGCATGCTGACCAAGGTGAATGCGGACCAAAGTCGTTGAGGCCAGACGGCTGAAACTGGACTAGAACGAGCTCATCGAGGGCAGGGGCTCTGCCTCAGATCTGTACAGGGCCTTGTGTGCAGGAAGTGCTAGAGAGAACTGTCAGTTTTGTTTCCTACTTACAGGTCTAGAGGCAAGTTTACACCTCAAGGAAATCCTAGCAGATTTTATAAATAGGGAGCACAGGGCCAGATGGTAGCTCAGGGGTAAAACATGATGCTGTCGCTCTGCAGGGCTGATCTGTGCGAGAAGGCTCTGGGTTCACATCCAGAGTCCTCTGTGAGCACACTGGGCACACATGTGCAGGTGGGCTGGGGGGTGGACAGGGGCATCAAGACCCCTTTGGGGGTGGACAGGGGCATCAAGACCCTTTTGGAGGTGCTGCCCCTCTTCCACTCTCTCTTACAGAATAAAGAAAATAGACTTCAAACAAAACAAAATATGGAGCAACTCAAACTGGAAAACACCTTGGGAGGGCTTGCTGCATTAGCAAGGGCTGAAGGAGCTGTCTCCCAACAGGTGCCAGGCATAAGAGGGCCTTTTAGACTCTCCTTTCATCTATTTTTAATATTCCCTGCCACCTTTTAAATGGAAAGGAAAAAACAGTGACTGTGTAAAGATTCATAATGACAAGGCAAGATCAAAGCTGAAAAGGAAAAAAGCACCAAGAAGAATCTTCACCTCTGAGTGGCAGGTCCCTGCTGCCCCGACGCCATGGTTTGCTCCAGCCAATGAGTTGAGGAGGCTAAAGCCTTGGCTCCTATCTGCAAAGGGAAAAATTTAAAAAAAAAGAAAAAGAAAATTTTAATTTACATTTTTAAATTGCTAAAATGACTATGATGGTGAAACGAAGGCTACTTTATCAAAGTTCCAACTATAAAACAGTTATTGTCACATACTCTCAATTCCAATTAACTTTAAAAAAACACATATTAGTTCAGTTGAAAGATCACGCAGGGCTGCAAAAGGCCATGCAACTGCTCTGCTTGCAAAGATGACCAGCACTGATGTTTCCACAGTCACTGTGAACTAATATTCCATTGCTTTAAGTGTCAGGCGTGGCCAGATGTGGATAAGGCGCTAGGGACCTTTAAAGTAGACACGGTCTTTGTGCTGACACTACAGGGCACGCAAAGGCTCTAACACAGACATAATCTACCGTCGCTCTGCAGGGCAGGGTAAATTAAAGGGAGCTGAGTGTCAGCCAGAGAAGGCCAGGGGAAACTTGTTTAGAACCACGAGACGCACGGACCGCAGGACACAAGATGCTACACAGCCGTGACAAGACAAGATACCTGGCTTTCCCTTCAGCTTCTCCCTCCCTCATTGCTGAGTAAAAGAATAAACCTGGGGACAGCTCGGGGCAGCAGAGTTCTCCATCAGAGACACCTGGTCAGCCCGATACCTGCTTTCTCTATTTATCAGTCCGTCTGTTCTTTCTCAATCCACCACTCGCTTCTGCTTGGGTTTCCATGTCCCCCGCCCCATGGGCTGAGGCATTTAAGCACTCACAAACATTTTAAAAAATCGACACCAAGGCATTATCGTCAGGCAAAGAGGAACCTTGAAGTAAAGCCCTAGCTTGGTCATGAATGAGCCACCTGCAGTGAAGGCGCCCAGTACTCAAAGTCTGTCTGCGGAATGGAGGACCGATCGGAACGTCTAGAACGGACGACAGTGTAAGTAGCAGCCCTGACCAGGAGTGGTCCCCAGAATCACCTGGGCCACTTACTGCTCAAGGACTCTACCTCAGAGTCACTGAGCCAGCATCTTTTTTAGAAGTTGATTGAAAGACCAAGAGAGGGGAAGGGAGGGAGAGGTGTTCCTTTTATTTGGGGGGAGGCGTGTTCTTTTGACAGAGTCTCACGATACAGTGACCACGCCCCTACGCCCCTAGCCTCCCAGCCACCCAGAATCACAGGTGTGGGGGAATGCCCAGAAACTTCAGGTCAACCCAGGACCGGAGCCCGGGCTTCCACGTGGCTCCATCATCGTACCACAAGGCCCTACACCTGCACCGCTGCGCTGCGGCTGGGCCCAAGTCAGCATCCTTAGGACAGAGGCCAAGAAATCGCAACTCTTAACAGGTATTCCAGAAGAGTCTTAGTGTTAGAGAAGTAGAAAAACAACTGCTTTAGAGTAGAACACGAAACCACAATCTAAGCGTCTAACAGTACAGAAGTCAAAGAACTCTAAAAAAGACTTTATTTTTCCTCTCTCTCCCTTCTCTCCACCGCCTACACATCCCCTGCATCCCTTCCTCTGCCAGGTGACCTGCTTCAGATGCCTGTCTCATACAAGTATCAAGAGGATCGACTGCAATTTCCTTCCTCCTTCCTTCACTTAGGAGAAGCTTCAACTGTGGCCTGATAGGCATTAACCAACAACTTTTTTTTTTTTTTTTTTGGTAAGTGATTTTTGCTATAGGGCTCATGTGCTTGCCAGGGACAGAGAGACAGCGAGAGATCACCCCCAGGGGGTATGGCACGCACACACACGCGCCTGGTGGAAATCTCAAGCCTCTAGGTCTGGGACTTGAACCACAGTTTGCCACATGGGATTCCAGCACTTTAACCACTATGCCACCTGCTGGCTCCCCAGCCAACAGCTTTTGCGAGCCTGATCCCTCTCCCTAGGCAGTTGCCTGCAGCAGTCAAGCCCATCCACATCCTGAGTGTGCCCAATCCAGGTATGGCACTGAGATGCCATCAGCGTGGGACCTGGAGACGGGATCCTGAGAGGAGCCAGTCCACACTGTCCTATGCTGACCTTTTCAATGCCTGCGGACACTTACTCAAACATCACCGCAGCCCTGTGTGTTGGCTGAACGTGTAGTTCGCCTGTAACTCGGACGGGGATTCTCCCTGTCGTGAGGACGTGCGAGAGCTCTCGTACTTCCAGGCTGCTTGTACGGAGGGCAGCATCTGAGCGGTAAGCTAGTGCTGTAAAAGAGCTCTGGCGTCTATTCCTGGAAGTTACTTGGACTGTGGGTGGCTTGCAAGTCCAGTTCATGTGTCTCTCCATACTCCAATTCTACGGCTCACGTTTTTCTTCTGTTGGGTATTCCCTAAACCTGGCAGGTCAGACTGCAACTCCTGAAGAATAATGCACTCCAGTGTCAGGTTAGGTGTTATTAGACCCAAACGGTCAGCTTAAAATGACTCCTCCTTGGGAACCAGCAGTTAGCATAATGGCTATGCCGCTGGACTCCCACGTAGTCGACCGCGGTTTGCGTCCTGGACCCGGTGGCTTAAAACTCACGCCGGGCGCGTGTGCGTGCGTGCCCAAGATCCCGAGAGGAGAATGGAGGAGAAGGGATTGTGGCATGACCATCCCCCCTGGGGGGTGATTTCTCGCTTTCTGTCTCTATGTCTCTCTCTGTCTGTCTGGTGAGCGCACGCGCCCTACAGTGAAAATCTCTCCAAAAAAAAAAAAAATGACTCCTCCTTTACAGTGGCTGCCTGAAAGGTGGGACATGGGCTGGGCGGGAGGTAGGAGCAGAGCTGGGCTTAGCATTATAGACTGGGCACCCTGTGATTCTTGGCCCACATTCATGGACTTACCTGCTCACAGAGTTTTTCTGAAATTGAATAATTTTAAGTTATGTATATTTTAAACAATTTTTTAAAAGACTTTTTTCTTTCTGAGAGGTTTTTACTATAGGGCATACATGCTAGCCAGAGAGGAGAGAGAGACAGAGAGAAAAAAGCGAGGGATCACTCCACCGGGGGACGGCCATGCTGCAATCCCCTCTTGCATTCTCTTTGGGCATGCATGCACACACCCAGCATGAGTTTCAAACCACCAGGTCTGGGACTTGAACCATAGTTGGCCCTGTGAGAGTCCAGCACCTCAACCACTATACCACCTGCTGACTCAGAAAAAAAAATTAATGCTCCAATTCCAGTGAATAAAATTATAAAAAAGTCAAAAGAACAGTGGTCAGAAAACTGAGTTTCACTTCCAGCTTGGCCTACTTGTGATGTTAGACAAACTCATCAACCTCACAGGCCTCACATTCTCATACGCAAAGTGAAGGGGTTGTGGGGCTAACAGGTGGAGTGGTGGTAAGGCGCTGGACTCCCACATGGTTAACTGTGGTTTGAGTCCCAGACCTGGTGGCTTGAAAATCTCTCTGGGCATGAGTGCGTGCATGCCCAAGCAAAGAATGGAGAAGGGATTGCAGCATAGCCATCTCCCCGGGGGTGATTTCTCACTTCACTTTCCCTCACTCTCTCTGTTGTTAAGGTCCTATGCCCTATTGTCAAGGTCCCCTGCATTCTAGAATATGTGATTTTATGAAGTAAAGAGGAATTCTTTAGCATGTTTTAAAAGTAACTTGGAATTATGGGCTTAAGTATACATTTTTAAATAGGAAGAAAAATAAGAACCTTAAATTTCAGAAAACTTTTAAGGTGGCTATGATTTTATCGTAGGTTTTAGGCAATTCCTAAGAGGCTCAAAGGACTTTTGCTGAGTGTTTTCTTATAAATAATGGAGAATTTTGTCAACTAATGAACGTTTTCATTATGTTCCACTGCTTATATTTTATGAAAGTTAGAAACACATAAATTTACATAATCAAGAATAATTTGTGTTTACCCAAAGCAGACTGTTTGCACATGAATACTGGGGGCGGGGGGGGGGGAAAAATGGGGGGGGGAAACATGGATGCTATTTTACACAACTACAGCTTTAAACACTCTCAGTTTTGCCTGACCCAATGTTTAGTAAAACTCTTCTCATAAGCACTCCCTGTACAACTATTCTTCTCACAGAAAAGAATTACATAAATTTTGTTTGTGGGGCTGGCAGGTGGTGTGGTGGTTAAAGGTGCTGGACTCCCACATGGCCATCCTGGACCTGGTGGCTTGCTTTCTCACTTTCCCTCTCTCTCTCTGTCTCTTTCTGATCAAAACTGAAAAATAACAATAAATAGTTAAAAAAATATTAAAAAGATGGGACCAGCAGTTGGCGTAATGGCTATGTTGCTGGACTCCCATATAGTAGAACACGGTTCGAATCCCAGACCTGGTGGCTTAAACTTAACGCCAGGTGTGTGTGTGTGTGTGTGTGCCCAAGATCCCAAGAGGAGACTGGAGGAGAAGGGATTGTGGCATGGCCATTCCCCCTGGGGGGTGATTTCTCGCTTTCTGTCTCTCTGTCTTTCTGGTGAGCACACGCGCCCTATAGCAAAAAACTTCTCCCCCCCCAAAATATTCATTGTTTAGATATTCTTGCTAGATTTCTTTTCTCTCTGGGATTCAAGGCACGGAAATGTTCTCTCTCTTAAGAAGAATTTATTTCTTTAGCAGGTAGTTGCTACAACGTGGTGGCTAAGGTGCTGGATTCCCAGATGGCTGACCGCAATTTGAGACTTGAACATGGCAGCTTGCTTGCTTTCTCTCTCTCTCTGCTCAAATTTAAAAAAAAATAATACTAATAAATAAATAAATATTTTTAAAAACTTTCTGGCATCCATGGGTTTACTGATGCTACATAAAACTAGACTGGGAAGGAATACATGAATGTACCTACTCAACTGACTCTTCTGGAACTTTAGGAATGCAGAATGAGGTTAAGTTGTTAAGCGGTGAAAATAAATTCCTCATATATATGAGAAGTCTATTAAACTCCAGACCTCAGACATCCCACTCAATGTCGGTAGTCAAGTAAGCTGGCACCAGTAGAACGATAGAAATGATAGTACGATACAAAAAAATTTAGCGGTGCTGGTCATTAGCATAGATTCTTCCAGGACGTG